TTTCCATGTTGTAAATGGATTCTCCCGAGACCTCCTTCGAAAATGGTTGGGGGTATTTCTTAAACATTTGAATTTTAGTGTCTAACACTGTGATGGTGTTATCACTTGTGTCAATTTTCGCTTTCAGTTCTTGGAGAGTTTCATATCCAATTAAACCATGGAAGAACTTATGAAATTCGAACACATGAAATTTGAAGTTTTTCTCAGTTAAATCTGGGAAAGGGTTAAACTCTACGTACCGATCAATAATGAACTTACCAGAAATATTGGATACGGCAGTAGGGTTAGGGAGTACCAGGGAATGTTTCACCAATTTAGGGCATAGATAATTTTTATTCGCCCCGGTGTCAACTAAAAGTTTAAGTTCGAATCCCTGACGAGTTGGGATTTTTATAAAAGGTATAAAATTTTTGTCGTCTATCTTTGGTAGTATATCGACGTTTCCAGCTGAAAATTTAGATTATCAGTTGGATTCTCAGTATGTTCTTGTTCGGTATCATCCCTAGTGGTTTCTTGGTTGGAATTTGTTTGTGACTCAGGGTCATTGATTTCATAATAGTTTTCATTCATATCATTATGGTCATAATATGATTCACTTGTCATGGGGTAATCATAGTACAGAGCGTCATAAGACACTTGACCGTATAAGGGGTCATAGTCTTGCTCTATGTTACGTAATTCAGTTATTCTGGCTGGTCTTGGTGGAATTGTGGGAGAGAATTGGTGTCTTGGGAATTGCGGTCTATTAACGTAGTTTACGTATCTAGATTGAATAGATCTGTCGCCATCTCTCCTTTCTGGAGCTGGTAACGCTTTTTGAGGTTGTTTGGAGTTTTCATTGTTCGGGCGTTGCGGGGGTATGAAATTTGGTCTTACTGGGTATGATTGAAATTGAGAAGACCGATGAGGTATGTATGGTTGTGATCTTGGTTGTATGAAAGGTTGACGATGAGAGAGTTGTGGAGCGGGCCTTGCTTGTTGGGGAAAGTTGATTGGTTTGGGAAGTCGTATAGGTGTAGAGAGATTTGGCCTTCCTAACCCGTTTCGGCTTTGGAAGTTCCTCTCCTCAATGGCTGCGTCGAAAGCCTGTTTTATGTTCACAGGCTGTCTTGCGCGGACATTACCCCCAATTGGCTCTTTTAAGCCAGCAAGGAAAACTTGCAATGCGTTTTCCCGATGGGTTTGGATACGGTCTTCCTTTACGTGTTCATTGTTTGCTGAGATATTTGTATTGTTAATTAGTAAGGATAGCAAATTCTGTACTTGTCCAAAGAACTGTTCTATGGACCCTATCTGTTGTGTCTGGAAGAGTTCTCTGGTAAGCGTGACGGGGTCACGTTTGTCGTTATAGTATGCAATTAAATTGGTTTTGATTGAGTCCCAATCAAGAGTTGTGCCATAAGTTTCTAAAACTTGATCGGCATCATTAATTATTTTGGCTCTAATGGCTTGAAGCCAAATTTTTTCAAAGGGCGTATTCTTTAAAGGTTCAATAAAAGGCATTAGGTTCTCTACGGCCCTTATGAAGCTATGTAGTTTGACGGGGTTTCCGTCAAACGGTTGAAGCTCTCTAACGGCTTGCGGGGTTTGAAGGGACTTCATTATTTTGTCGGCTTGGTCAAATAGCCTAGCCGTTTCATTCCGTTCATGTTCCATGTTTATATTTCTGTTCGGTAAAGGCAGAGGGTTAGGTTGAGGAGGTGGTGGTGGAATGGGGTTTTGATTGGAATTTGGAGAATTATTCATTTCAATGTTCTCTCGATTTCTCAGGTTGTATGGACTGTATCTGTCCATAAAAGCTAATTAAACCTTCAAAAATACAAGAAAAAGTTGTATTGGATTGTTAAACACGACTATTCTTTAAAATCTGAATGTAGATATGCGCTCTGCTTTTATTTCAATTTAAACAGATATTCACTCTGTCGGGGTATGATTTATAAACCGTCACTTAGACTGGTTGATTTATTTTAAACGGATGCCTTTTTGTTCTGGTCACTGTCAGATATTCGCTCTGCATTAACCGATTACACACCTGTAACCCCGGTGGATTGGGTTTGAGCAAGGTCTCCGGGAAAGTTTATTCGTTTTTCTTTGATTTTAAACGGATACTTTTCGTATCTGAACACGTCTAACAACAGATATTCGTTCTGCTACGCGAATCAGATTGCACACTGTGTCAGTTTATCACTGTGCCAGTGGCATGTATTGAATTTCTCCGTGGGCTAATCGTATTCACAACAGATATGCACTCTGCTATACGATTAGGTTCTACACCTTTAACCCGGTGGATTGGTTTTAAATTTTCTGTTTTGGCTTATCTTCTATTTTCGCATTGGCGAGTAGTTTATTTACAAGAAGTAAGGAGTAAAGTAAGAATAAAAGGGGGTGTTACTCACAGTAGTATTCCAAGCAGCATTTCCGTCTTGTTGCCTGTCGACTGTATCGAATCTGTTCGATGCTGCTGGTAGTTGAATTTGTTTTCTTCGTTGATGCTCCGACACTTCGTTAGACAATATAGTTCATTTGTTTGATGTTTATAGGAAGGTCGATGATTGACTTTGTAATCAATTGAGTTAACACGAAGTTTCACGAACAATTAGTCAATGTGCATTTAAGGGTTTTCTAGCTTCACAGCGACGAACTTTCACTAGCAATTAATGATGTGCCCTAGGCTTCGAAATCACAACAGTTTAGATTGAGTTAACACGAAATTTCACGAACATTTAGTCAATGTGCATTTAAGGGTTTTCTACTTTGTCTCAAATAAATTTCACTAGCCATACATGATTTGCATTAGGTTTTCAGGGCTAGTTGTTGTTTATCACGTTCACTTGTTTGCCTTGCATTCACTTCACTTTTTCTGTTTTCTCGAGTAAAGCAGTTCAATCACGGTTGGCAAAGCGGTTTGATCACATTTAGTTAGACTCACTCTCCCTTTTTCGGGGAATATTTGAATTGTTTAAGATTCAACAAATTATCACTTGGGAGATAATCGTCTCCGTACGACTGCGCCAATTAAAAGTTAGGGGACCGCGGATGCGTTTTTAAAAAGGAACTGACTCAAGTAACTGATGGATTAAGACTGATTTTATTAATTGAAATATTCCCTAAGCTAAGCTATGGTTCCTATCAAAGGCGCGTGGCTGTGGTGATCCATTCTGCTGACTCTGGTTTCCGTCCTCCTTGGTAGCGATGTCGTGTGGTCGATGGACTTCGCTCTGGTTAGAATGCTGACTCGATGCGTGGATGGTTCGATGGGTTTATGATGTCAATACCCTCGTTGGGTTTACTGCACGCAAGGTGTTTATGCTGCAGTATGATACTCGGTGCACTTGAAATGTTGATGTAGCAATATGCTGGTGAGCTGATCGATATGTGTTGACCAATTAGCTTTTGGACTTAGCCGGTGCTAATATGATGATATTGCTTACGTAGGGTTGGAGATACGTTTGATAACTTATATATGGATGTGAAGAAGGAAATCCCCACGTAATTAAATTTCTTCAATCGCAAAGGAAATATTTTTAATGATGGCAACAAAGATAAATGTTTTTTGTGCAAGGCGGACGGACACCGGAAGCTTTCCTGCCCCAAGCGGAAGGCTCGGAAGGAACCGGAGAAGCAACTTAAGGGAAAAGGAAAGCAACTAATTGAAAGAAAACAAAACAGCAGCAGTACGTATGCTGGTGTAGTGGTGGAAGGTGAGTCGTTAGTCATTAGCGACCAGGAAACGGACACGGGGTTGTAGATGCTGATTGAAAATAACGAAATGGACGTGACGACCCCGACGACCGACGATAGTAGCGGAGAGCATGCAACGGGAAACGACGTTCAGAAGCAGCAGCAGCGATCACGATTCGGGTTCAATGAAAATGAGTAACAAATTCGGGAAAGAAAGAAGTTGCGTGCACGGGAGAAGATCGCTTTGTCGCCGCTTCGATCGCCACCCAGAAAAATCATATGATAAAATACATTTTTATATATTTTTTTTTTTATTTTGAGTACCAACATTGGTATTCTATGTTACTCGGCTCCGCTAAGTTATTTTTATAACATTTGAGCCTGCCAAATAAACAAAATGAAAAAAAAAAGGCAATCGTGTAGGGTCCGCTTAAGAAACTGTCATTTAGTAAACTGGACTATTAGATTATAGGGTTCTGCGCGTTTTTCGACTTTTCAGCATATTGCGCATTTCACATCAAACTGGACAAATAAGCTCATTTTCACTTATTAAAAAGTGTGATAAAAGTGCGTTTAATCGTTTGGTATTTTCGGTGCTGTTATTCCCTAGGATGCAAGCAATAAGTACTCCGAAGAAACCAAAACGATTTGACGGAAACGTGCACTTTTAAAACACTTTTTTTTGCATTTTTGAGGCAGTCCAGTTGCAGATGCAATCAGCAATATTATGCAGTATTCAATTCAAGAGCAAATTTTCATTACGTCGAATGTAACAAAGGTAAACAAAGTCGAGCTATCAGTGTCAATCGATTCTCCTGCTATTGCACTATATACTGTCCGAATATAGGATCAAATCCAATTTTTAAATTTATTTACCAGTCAAATTGCTTTTTGACGTAATCACCTTCCGATCAAAAAATTTTTCGATGTTGGTCACTGGCATTGGGCCACCAAACGACGTATAATAACTTTTGACTCAAAAACCAGTATTTTTTAGCATGAAAGCTAGCGATTTGCATTTGTATGATTAAAACCCTGCTAAATATGTTAAACATTGCTATCACTATGAGATTATATGTGTTTACTTGGAAATAGGAATAACTTTTCGGTCATCAAAACAAAACTTTATTTTTCTCGGATTGGTGCGAATGTTACTTACGACATAATGAAAATTTGCTCTTGAATTATTGTCGAGGCAGAACCGTTTCAGTTGAGAGGTTCAAATATACATTGATGAGTTTCAAATAATTTTGCCAGACAGCAATATACCTATCTAAATACTTATGGATTTACTATTCTAATTTCTTTTTATGAACCAGTACCAGAACAAAGCATTAAACGAAGAAGCCAAAGTGCGACAGTTGTCTGAAGGTAAGAACCTACTTGAAGTTATTATTGAATAAATAGGCCATTTTTTTTACTAAACCATCAATATTTACAGAACGGAACAAACTGAAGGAGCAGTCAGAACATGAAACATCTGTCAATAAGCAGTTAGTAGAGGAAAAGCTCCAATTGCTAAGCAAAATTTCGGAAACGCAACGTAAACTGGATACCCTAAACAAAGAATTCAACAGCAAATGTATGCTAGCCAAGGAACTGGAATCCAAACTGAGCCAATCACAGGAGCATCGTAAGATAGAGCCAGCCCTTTTTTTAGTCATTACTTAATTATTATTAAGCTTAATTTTACAGATAAAAATACTATCGAAATGGAGAAAACACGTTTTTCAGCCGTGCTAAGTGAAGTAAAAATGATTTTGTTGATTTAAAACAAAAAAATTCAACGTGCTTCAATCAAACTAACATTTCAGAAACAAGCCGTTATTGATTCCAGAGAGGAACAGTTACAGCTGATGAAAACCGAATTACAGTCGCTTCAGGATAGTAAAGCTTCTTTTGAAACCCAATTCCAACAAACCATTCAACAGTACCAACATAAGAGCAATCAACTGGAATTAAAAATTGTTGAATTAATGCGACAGAATCGTGATCTAAATACTCTCGTCGGAAGGTAAACTTGATCCAATTAAGTCGACTATTCATAACTATGAGAACCTTGCTTTTGTAGAGGATTGCCATCGCTGGAAAATAGCACTGTAATGGAGCCAACTTCACACTCCACTGGATACGGCTATACGTGTCCACTTTGCGGAACGCCCTTCAAAAACCTCGGAGACCTACAGATTCATACGGAGAACTGCGGAACGTGATAAAAGTATCGAGATTGTTTATCAATAAATATAAGTAAAGCTTGTGCCGAAAACCTGTTTTTTTGTCCGCAGCTGCAAATAGATTGGCCTAAATTTATATGAGAGAAACTTGTCCAATCAACTCCCAGATTTGTTCCATTAGTGCAGTGCGTAATAATGTTATCATTTTTTCTAGCATTTTCAACTTTCTCTTCTCCCAATGCTTTCCGACTTACTAGTGACATGAGTCGCTTTGACTCTCGGAATGACCCCAAGTATCGAAGGTTAGTTCTGGAAGGACCTAGGACAAGGAAAGGTAAGATAAGAAGGATGTTCTTTGGGGCGAATATAGAATCAAAATTTATTATTCAGCAAATATAACAGCTTATCATAAATAGTAAAAAATATCGCCGACGTTATACTGGCCTTCAGTAACGAAGAGCTCAACCCTTTATAAAGCCCTCGGAAGCCTTCTGTATGCACAACTCTGTAAATACATTGAAACATGTGCCTACAAATAAAATGCTTCCCGTACGTTTGTCGGCCCTTCGAAAAGCCTTGGATTTGCAGTCGTCGCTTGACCAGATCCAGTGGATAAACTAGTAACTTCGTACATAATCCGGACAGTGCACCGCATATGATCAATTCCGCCGGTGCTAGCAGGGCGTCCTGTGGCAACTCCTCGATCCGTTTCATCGCATTTCCAAACAGGTTATAGAACATAAACTGTCCACCGGTGAGGGGTGCCATCTGAATTATGGCCGGAGTTAATCCTCGATACATACCTCGAATGCCTTCGTGTTGGTAGATACTGCGGACCGCATGGAAAGCATTTCTATAGCCTCCAGCTGGATCCTGCGATACCAGACGAGTTTTGATCACGTCCAACGGCATTATCGTAAATGCGGCAAACGATCCACTGCAGGCTCCGCAGACAAAATTTCTTGTGCGATCGTGACCTTCGAAGGCGGTCAACTCCCTGAGAATGCCGTTGAATCGCTCGTAGAATGTAAACTGGGCCACTCCTTGTGCCAGCGAGAGGACCTGTGCCGTATTGTGACCCTTCCAGAAGGCAAGAATGCCTTCTTCGCGGTAAACGGTACCGATTGTTTGCGCAATGGTACGATACTTGGATGTTTGTGATTGGGAATGAATGGGTTCCACCTGAAGCTGCAGGCGTATTTTGATTACATCGAACGGTTGACACATTGTCCGCGTTGTGCAGCCCGTTAGACCACCGGCAACACCAGCGTACTTGGTTTGATCTTCCTTGGGTCGGTCCATTGACGCCCCGAAGACTGGGGTTTGTTTTATTTGTGCGTTTGAAAGATTTGAGACCACCGGTTACTTTGATAATCGCTCATTTAAACTTTTGTGAAATAGCTAGGGCTTCGATCTAATTTTGGGCATACTACGCACAACCTGCCCTTTGCCTCTATTTTTCGAGCGGACCTTTTTTTCACAAAATGGAATGTTTTCACTGCACCGTAAGATTTGATAGAAAATAACAAATTGTTGAGATATCGTTAACCCTAAACTTGGCCTACGGATTCTAAATTCGACCTAACGCATTGAAACGCCATTCAAACGCCATTGAATTCACTTCGGCAATTCGGATGAAGATAAAAATTGATTCGGTCGGAGCGCTTCTTTTGTTTTTGAGAATAATGGGTGCAAACATTCATATCACGCGTTTTTATTGACTTCGTTCGGTAGTTTCAGAACTAAAGTATCGCACAAAATGCATAATTGACTTGTTAACGCCGAAATCAAAGATTTATTTGATGTTTTCTGCTCGATAGGCCCAAAATGGGCGATTAGGCCGAAGAAGTTCTCTAACCTATTTGTACAACAAGTTGAAAAATCGATTTGTTAGCACTAATTACTGAAAAGTGTGTTGGGCTACAAAATGGTGAGGTTGACAACCTGGTAACCACAATTTCCTACCTCACGCCTGACCAAGTCATATGATAACAAAACTCAGCTGAAACATGGACACAGCTGGATGGCGTAGCCTGGGCAATGTAGCCAGTCCGGCAATAGCAAAGTGAAGAGGTGCGACGCGAACACTGGCGCGGTAACCATAGTACCATAGAGGTAACTCTAAGACCAGAAGGTTCCGAAGAAACGAGCTTAACTTTTTGGCTCAGCTCTGGTACTATCTTCGGTCCCAAGCTAATCGGTGCACCCCTCGAAACATAGGAAAATCCACGAACCCCTCATTTTATCTGTCAAACTTTCATAGCGAATTAAAACAAACATTGTGTAGTACTAGAATTTCGACTAGAAGTGATACGTTAATCGTTTGCTTGGGAACAATAGGCTAGTCAAGTAAGTGAGCCAATTTAAAATCGTTAGTTTCGTATTGATTGTTGATAGTACGGCGATAAAGGAAATGCTTCACCAAACCCGAGCGTCTGTTCACCATGGAAGTGCGGTGCAAAACGTCTGTCCTAGTGCCAGCGTGGGACTCTAAACGTGCACGATATAAAGTTACAAATACCGAAGAACGGATCAGATCGAAACAATCGCCACAGACCTACACTACGAAATAAGGACTACGATTGGAAACTCGGAACATGGAACTGCAAATCTCTCGGCTTCCCGAGCTGCGATAGGTTAATCTATGACTAACTTCAACCACGCAACTTCAAGTCGTAACACTGAAGGAACTTTGCTGGACGGGACAAAAGATATGGAAAAGCGGGCATCGAGCTGCTACTTTCTACCAGGGCTGTGGAACCACCAACGAGCTGGGAACCAGCTTTGTAGTGCTGGGTAAGATGCGCCAACGCGTGATTGGTTGGCAGCCGATCAACGCGAGGATGTACAAGTTTCTTCAACTACAGAATTATCAACTTGCATTGGGAGAGAGGTAGCTCATCGATTCTTCCGGTTCGCCTCCTAGCATCGTGCTATAAGGTACCAGGCGATAACCAGGGTAGTTGATCGGTAGCTCGATGACGTCATTTCGTTGGCGTCTGCAATGGGAAATTCTCATAGCAGGCGTTGACGATGGGACGTTGTCGAGTTGTTGAATAGCAACTATCGTAGTAACTCACCGATTACCTGTCGATCTGCCAAATTTGGAAAGACGTCTGCATTGAATTGTCTCATATAATAATATTCCGCCCACTATATCACAAGAAATTGCGAGTAGCTGAGTGGAATGGAGATAAGTTAAGCATTGGGTACAGGACCAAGTCTCCCCTGGGTGGTGCCAAAAGATGAGCGCAATAGAATCATCAAGTTGCCATGAAGCACGGAATGAGACTATTGCATGGCTGGGTAGTCAAAGTCTTCCATTCGTTAGTAATTTCAGGTGGATTAGAACAGGTTTAGGTGGGCGTTGGCCAGATTTGGATTTTTCAGATGTAATCCTGGATAGGACTCTATCATTGAACGTCGCGTGAAAGTGGAACTTAATGAAGGCCTAAGTACTTTTTCGTAGTTTTTAGTTTTCGGATTTGAAAGATCGTCGGTTACAGTGGCCTGCTTACTGAGAAGAAAAACGCGGTCCTAGGTCCTTACATATCAAGGAGATTTATGGTAAAATCGCTTGTGTATCGTGTATTTTGCGAAACTCGTTGTTGTCGTTGGTTCCGGGTTTGAATGGATACACAAATTTGAGCAACGGTATTATGTGATATGAGGGGCTCGGTGACCTTAGAGCAACCGTTTTTGCTTACTGAGCAGAACATCATGAGTCTAATCTCAGGCCCATCCACATTCAAGATTCGTCAATCGTTTTATTTGTTAATATGACTACATGGTAATAACAGCAACTCGGTGATTAAAAAGGTGCTCGTCTACCTAGTGGCAAACGTTTTTGCTTACTGAGCAGAAGACCGTGGGTTTAGTCCCAAGCTCCTTCGCGTTATATGATCGTTAGGACATCAATTCAGCTTATCGTTTACCAAAACGAACCCTGCTGCAAACCCAACCCTCTTATCCAACATCCCAGTGATTCCTCGTGGAAGTGCAGAGGTGTTCTCGGCTTCCATCAAAGCGAGTGTCATGTCAACACAATCCTTCCCATTCCTTTCTTGACCTGTGTTCGGGCGCGGCCGGCGCAGGTATTGCCTAATTTAAGATCACCAGTTTTTACACATTGAGGATGATTGCTAGTCCCAAGCATCGTCTATTGGTTCTCTGTGTAATTACAGCTGATCTGGCAGTAACAGAGTAGCAACCGTGGGCGGTCAATCAAGCTCAAGCTCAAGCTCAAGCTCAAGCTCAAGCTCAAGCTCAAGAATCATCAACTTGCACTGCCCACACGAAGGGAGACCCGACGACGAGAAAGAAGCGTTCTATGCGCAGCTGGAGCAGGTGTACGACAGCTGTTCGCAACGGGACGTCAAAATCGTCATCGGCTATATGAACGTTCAGGTAGTACGGGAGGCAATGTACAGACCGTCATCGGGCCAAACAGCCTGCATGCCGTATCGAACGATAACAGGGAACTTTGCGGCCTCTCGGGGTATGGTAGTCCGAAGTACCTTTTTCCCCCACAAGGATATCCACAAAGCCACCTGGAGATCACCTGACCAACACACAGAAAACCAAATCGATCACGTTCTAATCGACGGGAAATTCTTCTCCGACATTATCAACGTCCGCACGTACCGTAGTGTGAACATAGATTCGAACCACTACCTAGTTGCAGTATGCATGAGCTCAAAACTCTCAATGATGCATAACACCCGCCGGAGTCGAACGCCGCGACCCAACATTGATCAACTACGGGACGCCGGAGTTGCCTAGGATTACGCGCAGCAGCTGGAAGAGCAGCTTGGCGCAGCTACTCTTGAAGATGTCTGGAGGGACATCCGTTCCACCATAGGTAGTACTGCTGCAGCGGCACTAGATACTGCGATCCCGGACCGAAGAAATGACTGGTTTGACGGCGAATGCAAACTGTTAGTAGATGAGAAGAATGCAGCACTGGCGAGAATTCTGCAACACCGCACGAGATTGAATGTGGAGCGATACAGACAAGCGCGGAACAGACAAAACTCGGTTTTCCGAAGAAAGAAGCGTCAGCATGAAGACTGAGATCGCGAGGCGATGGAAAATCTGTACCGCTTAAACTACACAACGGTGGCGAAATCGGGGTGGTCGATGAGTTCGTGTATTTGGGCTCACTAGTGACCGCCGAAAATGATACCAGCAGAGAAATTCAAAGACGCATTATGGATGGGAATCGTGCCTACATTGGACTCCGGAGGACGCTAAATGCCGCACGAAGTTGACTATCTACAAGACGCTGATTAGATCGGTGGTCCTCTACGGCCACGAGACCTGAACTATGCTCGTGGAGGACCAACCGCCCGTGGTGTTTTCGAACAAAAGGTGTGTGTTGCGTTGCGTACGATCTACGGTGGAGTGCAGATGAATGACGGAACGTGAAGGAGGCGAACGAATCACGAATTGCACCAGCTGCTGGGAGAACCATCCATCTACCACATTCCAAAAAATGGGCGACTACGGTGGGCTGGGCACATCGTAAAAATGCCGCACGACGACCCAGTGAAAATGGTTCTCCATGCTTGGCATGCACAGTTGTACACACTAACTGCTCATTTGTTAATAATTTTTTCACACTGCTGTTGAAATTTGTTTTTTTTTTTAAAGTAATTGATAGATTAGGATCATAGATTACTATAGATATGCAAAGATTAGGTAAATCTTAACATTTGAATAAAAACTAACTCATTTTTACACTTAAAGTCCGAGATGTGTAGCGAGCATTTCTCCAACGTCGCGTGAAAGTGGAACTTAATGAAGGCCTAAGTGCTTTTTCGTAACTTTTAGTTTTCGGATTAGAAAAATCATCGGTTGCAGGACAGTGTTACCGATTTATATTGGATAATCCAAAGCTATGTTGATCATTATAACATTAAATTTTGAATAACAAATGATAAGACAATCTTATTCAAATGTCGTAATAATACCTCTGACCAAGGAAAAATGATTTATATAGTTTTCATAAAAGTTGACGATACAAATACTAATGAGGAAAGGAATTCCGCATTTCCTTTTCCCAAGTCCTTTTCCTCTCCTTCCCTTCCCTTCTTCTCTTTTCAGAAAGCGAGTAATGGCGCTATAACCATATGCCATATAGGGCTAGGACAAGAGTTAGTGCTCAGGTCCCAACCGCTAGAAGAAAATGGTAGCGAGCAAGGGCGCTATAACCTAGGCGAATACAGCATTCCCTCCGTATAGGTTACGTCCGCACACCGCTCTCTGGTGTCCTTCGACTGAGGTCGGCTGGATCGATTGAG